CCCTCACCTCTACTGCAGGCTTGTTTTCTATATCCTGTCTGCCTGGGAAGTGGCTCTACTTGCCAGTTATTTGCTATCTTGGCATTTTATGTTTACTCTTGGATAGCATTCAGTTTGCTATGTCAGGGTTGCCTGTTTACTTGGCTATCTCATCAGGCTGAATTCCCAGAGCAGAAGAACTGTCTTATCCATTGCTTTGTTCCTCATAGCTGTTACAGTGTCTCACACATATGTGCTCAAAAATATCTATTCAAGTAATAAATGAATGAACAAATGAATTCACAAAGTACCTTGATGATAGTCATTCACCTTGAATGTTGGACTGAGCCGCCCAAGCACTATAGGAACTCGCTGGTTTCTGAGTGGTCACAGATCTTTCATTCTTCCTTGAATGAGTTGAAGGTAGCAATGGGATCCAGCATATGGAAACCTTAACTTATCAACACCTTTGAGCTTAGCCATTGGGAATTGAGACTGTTAAATGGTCTTTGTGAGAAAAGCATGTGGAAAAGATGACATGGATGGCCCCATGATGGAAACTTCTGCCGTAACTATATGAACAGAAGAGTTTCCTACAGCAACAGTGTTCCAGAAGGAACATGAATAAATGATGGGTGGTTAGAATAGCAGGAGCTGTGATACATGTCAGTACCCTTGGTTCCTGTGTGTATGGAAGAGTTAACATGCGTCCATTGCTTAACACAAAGCCTGAATATGCCAGGTGATAAAGGCTATTAAAAGTCTCATATACCTGCACCTAAGTACACACGTACACATGCTCGTAGTCTGAGCTTGCTGCATTTTAAGGACAAAAGTCCTGAGTTCTGTTTTACTCGTAACAATTCTATTTTTTGTTTTGTTTTATTTTCTTTGTTTGAGACAGGGTCCTGCTCTGCTGTCCAAGCTGGTCCTGAACTCAGTAGTAGCCCAGGCTGGTCTTGAACTGTAGCAATCCTCCTCCCTGAGTCTCCGGAGTGCTGGGACTTCAGGTGTGCGCTGTCATACCTGGCTTACTCATAGCGCTTCTTTTCCGCATATCTGGCTCACATTGGTGAAGCTGCCCCACCAGGCATGGGAACCAATCATCAAAGAAGTGTGCTTTTTATTCTTTCGAGATTAAACATTAGATCCTGCATTTGCCTATATCTGAGGAAAGACACAGGCAAAAGAAACAAAAAACCCTGCTAAAATAAAGCCCTGGGTTTTCTAAGAGTAACTTTGAAACAAATTATCATTACTTTAGTGTATTATCCTAAATTCTTCATCTCATACAAAAGCCTTGGTTTGTAATTTTGGTTTATTAGATATAAGGGACAGAAGTAATTTTTTCTTTTTGAAAAATGCATGTAGTTTTTAAAATCCTGAGTTCAGGGTCCTTTTGCAAATGGAGCCTTAACTGTCTTGGCAGAGCAAGTTCTTCTGGACCTACACATGCATGGCCAGTGTTGAACACCGGGTACTCCAGGAAACCCTTGCTTGCTGTGTCAGGCAGTGAGGGGTGATGATGTTTATAATTGCTTGGGGAGCTTCAGTTGGCAGCAGCTCTAAATGATGATGTTGAAGGTGAAGGATAGAAAAGAAGGGGCTAAATCATCTATGACAGATTGGCTGGGTCCAATGCTATTGGAAGCAGATCATCTACCAATGTACCCCCCTCCTTTTAGCTATTTCTGACTATATTTCTCTTTATCCCTCTTTGTGGCAGGTGCAACCAAAAATGGTGTAGCACCATGACATGCAGGTAATGAATTATCAGCAGTGAGCTGTTCTCATGGGGTGGGGGGGTGAATCCCAAAGGAAGAAGTACATAGGTAAACTCTAAGTTGAATAACTCAGGAGTGACTACCAGGCTTAGAGTATCTGTGATTGATTGACTGGGAGATGGGTTGGTACTGGCAGAACTGAGCTGTGCTGCTCAATGGGGAGAACACCGTGTTTGTATACATTCGTGTAGAGAACTGGCAGAGAACAGTTCTCTCAGAACTGGGACTCGGGAGAGTAGGGATCCAACATGGAAGAGCATTTGTGTGGGGCTTGAAAGCGGGTTGAGAGCCCACTCTTGGAACAGAACTGAAAGTAGAAACAGGAGGGGACAGTGATATTGAGGACAGTGTTATCCAAACCACGGGGAAAGAAACATGTGTGACACGTGTGTGAAACGTGTGATGAGACCAGAGGATGCTGGAGGAAAACAGTATCCTCTTGACCTTGGAGTCTAATGCTTTTCCAAAACAAAACTTGCATCATTTCTTTTGACCCTTAAAAATGAAAATGTCGCTCTTAAACTTGATTTAAAGCTCCACTCACATCACATTAATGTATTTTTTTATTCATTCACTCAATGGACTGCTTAAATAATATTGTCTGGCTTTTAGTGTTTGAGAAAACCTCTCTAATTTTCATCAACTCTCCAGTATTCACTCAATATTAGGAACCAAAGCCCTACCAAGGCCATTCTATAGGGCCTGCTAGTCAAATCACTAACAATTAATCCCCAATCAAACATACTTAATAAGTGTATTCTTGACTTCTTTTTCATTGCCACACCCTGTGAAGTTATTTCAGAATTTGTTTTCCTAGACCCAGGCATGGTGATACACACTTACAATCCTAGCACTTCCGAGGCAGAGGTAAGAGAATGCAGTGAGTTCAAGGCCCGTCTGAACTGCATAGTGAGACTCTATCGTAAAATAATTATTTTTCTAATAATCTTTCCTCTATAAAATTTAAATACTAATGATATGTTGTATAGTTCCTTATACACCTGGTCTTTTGAAGGGTCAGAGGATACTGTAATATCTCAGATGTTCCACAGCTGTCCCAAACCAATTTGTTGCTTTAAGGAAGCTGTTACTCCCATAGAGAGTACAAGATTTATAATTTGCCAGGGAATGTGGCCCTTCCAAAATGGTGCTTGCTTCTCATAGTTGCCTTCTCCATTGTACAATTTCCCATCACTTCTTCTCCCTAAGTAACTGGCACTGGACCTGCTCAGGCTGCCTTTGCACCATAGAGACACCATACAAAGATTTTTGTCACTTTGGTGACATAAAAATGGTACTCCAGAAGACAACTGCCTGTTTCAGCTGCAGAGACTAAAACATCTGAGGTAGTAGTATTTAATTTAATCACTAAGGCGTTTGTTTGAAATTACTCTTTCCATCAACCTTAAGGAAGAGCAAGGTGTGAAGTTACTCCCTGTCAGATGTAGGGTAAAGGTCAGTGATAGGCTGTAAGACACTCTTGTCATTGTCAGTGAAGTGACGATGTTCTTCACTGCTCTAGTAATCCTATTCCTAACCGAGTCTTCTTACAGGAGTGTGCCTTTTTCAGCACATGGGTTGTCACATGTGTTCATTTGCCGAGCTACCGTAACAGTATGCCATAGACTTGGAGAAGTAAACAGCAGAAGTATATTTCCTCACAATTCTGGAGGTGAGGCGTCTGAAATCAAGGTGTCAACAGAGGATGGTTTCTTGTGAGCCCTCTCTCCTGAGCTTATAGAAGTCTATCTTTTTCCCGCATTCTTCCCCTCATTTACATCCTATGCAAGTCTCTGTCCTAATTGCCTCTTTTATATGGACACCAATCATCCTGGATTAGAGTCCTTTCTAATGATTTTTTACCTACTCATCTCTTTAGGGCCCTATCTCATGTTCTGAGGTGCAGGACATTAAGATTTCAACAGAAGACTTTGTGAGAGGGTGTTCACCATTCAGCCTATAGTAATGTAAGACAAGGAATTAGGAGGACTATTGTGGGTCACAATCATAGACATTAACTAGAATATATCTGTTAAATCTGCCTTTTCTTATTAGCTGTATGTTCTTCCACACACAGTTAACCTCTCCGATTTCCATTCTCTTTAAATATTTGATATTCATTCCCATCTCAAAGGGCGCTTTTCAGAATTGTGCGTAATCAACTAACAGTAACTAAAACTATGAGACACTTGTCAAGCATAGTGTCTGATTTATATTCCTTAGAATATAGGGAAGCAATTTATTATCTTTTCCTTTTGAATATGGATCAAGACTTTGGTATACCGTGAATAATAAGATCAGCAAGTAGGGTGATATTATTAACATGAAGAAGGGAAATGAACATTTGTCGAACAGCTCCAATCTCATGTATAGGCCAGATTAATTTTTGCATAAGATCTATAGAACATTCATGCATTCATCATTCACTCAACAGTAGCATTGTGCTTGTAGTATGTACCAGTTTCAGAAAGCAGTCTGCGCGTCTCATACAGTCTGTCCGTTCCCATAGTTTCTATACCTCCCTGGCATTGGGGGGTTTCTGCAGGACTCACAAAGAATGTCTCAAGTTGAACTACTGTTGTTGCAGTTGGAATTTGTTCTATTCCCTTCAGAAACAGCCTGTGTCCAGGGGAGGTCATGTAGTATCACTCTGCTGGTCCACATTACTAATTCAGCTAATTGCAGCAATTACGTGAAGGAATTGCTGCTAGTAAGGGACGCCATTATTCTGCCCCTGAGCAGCTTCCCGCAGCGTTCCTTAATGATACAGCCAATAGATTCCCCAGGCATGAAATCATCCACTTGAGACCACATGCCACATGCACTGAACCCTCTCCAAACCTTCACGCATTTCTATGTTGGCTTAGTTCTTCTATTACCTACCCATTGCAATACCTTTTCTTTTATCCTTCCAATTCTCAACCCTGAAATTAGAACCAGGCTCCACAATATGATTTACAGAAATGGGATAGATTTCAGTTTCCTGAAAGCACTTTGGGTCTCTCTGCTTCACATCCATACAAATTGTATGGACACAGAACCATTCTCAGCTACAAAGCAGTTAAAAACTCTCTACCCTGCATCATGGCCTTCTTTAAGGGGCGGGGGAAACAGCAACAATGATGGGAGGTGGGACACAGTGACATCTCTGATGCCTTTGTGCACTGGTTTCATGATTTTCTCTTTTCTCTCTCTTTTCCCAACCCCACCCCACTGTTGTTCCTTTCACACGAACAGCCAACATCAGATGACCTTGTTTCATCTGCTGAATGTTCAAGTGATGATGAAGACTTCGTTGAATGTGAGCCGAGTCCAGGTAGGTCAGGTCAGTCTTGTTTTGCTTGCTTTCTTTTTTCATTTGCAAAAAGCAATACATACATATATGTGATTATACGTGTGTTTTCTATATGTTGTACTATGTGTTAATGTGTGTATTTCCTATATCTATATATGTATGAGCATACATATATAAATATTATTCATAAGCAAAAGCATCGAATCCCATGGAAGGAGCAGTGAGAACCTGGGAAAATTTAAAGTCTGGACAGCAAAGAAAAATTCATGGTATACAAGCCAACTTTGGACAAGTATGTGCACAGATTGGTCACTGAAATAGCCAAAGTGTAGCAGCCAGTGGAAACTATGAAAGTGACAAGGGGTGAGAAGGTGAAGAAGCCTATATCAGAATAAGTAAAAAAAAAAAAAAAAAAAAAAAAAAAAAAAAAAAAAAAAAAAAAAACCATAAAAAAAAAGAAAAAAAAAAAAAAAAAAAAAAAAAAAAAAAGCATGAAACCAAATTGGCGCCATAAATATTGGTAAATACCACTTAAAACTCAGGAATAACTCTGAACTTGTGTAGCAAAAATAAATAAAAAGTAAGCCAGACAAAATTTTCCATGGGATTTCAACAGCAGTTAACATGGTATTATAGTCATACTAATTTTGTTCATTGATTGTCTAGAAAACTTGTGCAACAATTTAGTAAACTAAACGCAAAATTAGTAGTACACAATGTCACGTCAGCAGCTGTGATGCTTCAAAATGTATCCACTGTGCTGAAGTTGGTCAGACTTTGGCAATTAGAAGCTTCATTGTGTTTCCCATTTGGACTGTGATACATTTTGATGTTTTATGGTCTTTCTTTATAATGAGCTATATATGATATAATGTCCAGCAGGAAACTGCTAGTCCCTGATTATTTCCTATCAACTTTCCCAATTAGCCTGTTTCAAGACTTTCTAAAAGTTAAACGTTCATATGTGTATAATAGAGAACAGATATCATTGAATTTCTGTGTATGTTTAGCCTTCTTAAAAGTCTTAGATGAGTCAGGATCTTATTCCTGCAAAGGCCAAAAGAAATAAGTAAAAATTTCTTTCTCAGGGTTGCTTTAATTATTTTCTTTTTTTTTTTTTAAAGACATGCCATTGAACATTATCTTTTGCTAATTCTAGAGAAATTTAAGCTTCACGGAAAAACAGTACATCAAAAATTAAGACCTTTCATTTATTTCCCAAGGTGATTTATAAGATTTTAAATTTTATTGAAGTCCGATTGCTTAGTTTCTTGGAAGTGGCTTTGAGTACAGGAAGTTCTGTGGGTTTCTGTCCTTAGCATTACACAGAGAGTTACTGATTATATGTTGGCTGTACTGTCCTGGAGTGTGATATGGTCCTTTGGGAGCTCAACCACATGGAAGGCAGGTAGATGTGGCTTTGTTAGAATTTTTCAGGTTATCAGGTCATAATCTTTATGTGCTGACTGAGGTTCACACTCTAAAGAAGAGATATATCCAAACTGTACTAAATCACATTCACTGAGGTTATACTAAAAAATAATTAATCTATTAATTCATTCAACAAATACTTATAAGTACTTGGACAGGATATAATGTACTTCTAAATTTAAGTTCTTCTTATGTTAATAATTTTCACAAATTAACTGTTGGAAAGTAGAACAAAGCTTTTTGGTATATAAATCATTTGCACATCATAATTCTGCTCAAATCTTTCCGAAGAACCAACTCTATGTGTTACGCATATGCTAGATTTGAAGGTCTCGGATATAAATGACGTTATCCTCAAACTACATGTTAAATTACCTAGTTTTTTGACCAATGGTTTAAAATGCTTAGACTTTAATTAGGATTCTTTTTTCCTTGTTCTAGGTTTCTTCCTTTCCTTGCAGTAATATCTGTGGCAAATGGTTATCAAATCTTTAGTTTTTAAGTCTTCTAAAAACTTGAGGCTTAGCTATTCTGAAATATTACCACCATCTTTTCCCAACTATTTCCCTCCACAAACAAATCATCTCCACAACACCTTCCATAATGAGGTAGAAGACTTTCCCAGATCCCAGTTTCCCCAGGCTATGGATACCTATTGCCATGTGATAATGAACTTGCACTGGCCCAAACTTGACTGGCCCAAAATCAAGTTTATTTGCTTTTGAGAGGATGCACAGATGTTTTAGCTGACTCAAATGTAGAGAACTAGAATTCAATGCCAGCATTTCTTGAGTAACTTGGGTAAGAGAGGGTGATATAATTTTTAATATAATCCATTGTGTTCTACAAGGAGAGATAAAGTGGGGGACAAGAGTTACCACCATGATAGATCTAACATAGCTCAAAGAAAGGGTTATTAATCCTCTCTGCCTGGGATAATTCAACTCATTACATTTAAAGAATGAGCATTTATTCTTCCTAAATTTATTTACGTGAAGTGTTACTGGTGAGTAGTTTGGATACACTGGAAAACATGTCAGAGGTGTATTTAATACATGAAGGAGAAAGATATCCTTACTGATGTAGAGAGAGAAAAGGTTTGTCCTGGGGAACAGGTTATCACTGATGAGAGTTTCCTGCTTAGAGCTATCAAGCTCTCTTTTGCACCACATGGGATCCATCATCACAGCCTCACATTTCCCACTGTAGGAAGAATTACACTCAGAAACATTACCAGGTTTATAGGGCTAGGTTTGCATTGCTTAAAGAGAATATGTCCACTGCCTATGTGCAATGGATAGTGGTAATATTTACCTGATTTCCACATACATTGCTGATCTTGCAATTCTACATGAACGTTGAGATTAAAATTCTGGTTTTGAACACCCTAACTCATTGTCTCATTTTCTAAATTGTACTCTTTCGCAGGCCAGAAGCTTGATTCATGCACACTAACTTTGGTTACTACCCAGGCCTTGTTCTATCACTCTTAACTGTTCCCTTGTCTTCTCTCACTTTATAAGCAAGTTTATTATTTCTCTACCTGTTTTATTTATGAGGCCCTTCACCTCTACATGCTATTTCATGATCCATTTGAAGCTCTTACATTTCATAAATTTTATGTTATGTTCAAAAGCTTTCAGTCTCACTTGGGCACCAAGTTTTATTTAAATGAAAAAAAAATTTTCTTTAAATCAAAATGGATTTAGTGCTTCTGGTTTTGAAGCAGATGTAAGCAATTAACTTTCACGTGCAGAACCGCACTTTGGCATTTGGGGGGAGTCACAATGGTTTGCTGTAGTTTAGTCTTAGTATGTTTAAGGACAACCTGTTTTTGGAGTTTGATTGATAGTAGTCTAGAAACCTTGCAAATCTAATAGATGTATATTTTTCTGGAAAATATGTAAATGGTTTAATCTCTTAGACTAATTTCAAGGCACAGAGTAAAAGCTCAGCTGGTTGGTTGACTCCAGTAGTTTGACTTTCAGATATCTCATAATCTTAAACTGAAATTGAACAACTTTTTTCCTACCTCTAATTTCATCTCTGCTTCCTCAGCTAACACAAAATCTTCTGAGTTATTTTAAAAATCTGTGATTTGGTACAAATAACTATTGCCCAAAGAAAACCTACATTTCTTTAACAAAAAAAGAATTGCTTTCTCCCTTTCTCTAGCCCTTCTTTTCATAGAAATTAAACCTGTTTTGTTTTGTTTTGCTTTAGATACTGAGGATTAATTCCATGGCTTTATACTAAGCTACATCCCCAGCCCATTTTCATTTTTTATTTCCACACAGTCTTGCTAAATGCCAAGTCTGGGCTCCAACCTATGACTCTCCTGCCTTAGCCTCACAGAGGGCTTGGCATTACAGGCAATTCTTTTGAATCATAAGTGTGTTTGTGCTTCCTAAATATTGGCTCTAAGATCCAGAATTGAGCTTTTAAATAGTAATAGCATAATAAAGCCATCTGTACCAAATTTTAAATATCCAGAATAAGACCTGAATAAATATTAACTATCTAAACATAAAAGTCAGGACTTTAACCCCTAATTTAAAATGTTGATTGTGTTCCTCACAAAATTCACTATTATATATTTTAGATATTTTTCTTTGCACACACTTTTCTTCCCACTGCACTTCTACTAAGCTATACAGTCAACTCACATTTTCTTGTCCTTTCTTTGTATCCAACAAGAAAATCAGATGAACTGCCAAGGATTCAAATAACCAGTGGCAAATAAATCTCATCATGAGATTATAGAGTTGAAAAGGCAATTAGGGTCATATTAAGTTCATATTTGTGATCTCATATATGGAATGAATTCTGAAACTCAGACACATTATGAAATTCACTTTTCATTTCTGCTCTCACCCTCCCCTCCTGCTATTCCTAATATGTCCACCTTTGCAAACAGAAATAACATCCAAGTAAATATATTCTGAGATTAGTTTTTGTATACATAAATAGAAATTATCAACTAAACTGGATTTTACCCATTTATAGTCTCAAGATTCTAAAAGTCTTGGTGCCAAAGGTGATAGAAAGGATAAGAAACAAAAAGCAAGACCTTTTACACCTGAGAAATGGGCACAGCATGACTTAACAACCATATTACTTCATCTAGTACTTGCCCACTGATAAATTTTTCCGGTTGTCAATTAATAAGCATTTTTCCTTCATTTTTGTTAAATTCCCTTTGGTCAAATCTCAAGGGATAACACTTCCACTAGGGGGCAGACAGTAAAAGGAAGTTAAAATAAAACACATCCATCTGTCATTAGGGCTGTACTGAACGAGATCTATAGTGGTTAAATTGAAGTAGATGTTTAAACTAATGAGAGTAAGAGAAGATCACAAAATGATCACTATTCTTAGAGCATATCTCATATATACTTTTATTCCTCAAATCTACAGTCCTCTCTTAATTTTTATCAATTTGAAATGACTCACTAGGTATGCATGATATAAAAATCTGATGCTGAGTTGTTAAATGTTCACCAAATCATTAGAATTTTTGTTCACTGGCACATAATAGAATGTGGAGTAGAAATGTTAAGGCAATAATTTTCTAATAAAGAATAAAGACAGAAGTCTTA